GATTTTCCCCTTTTATATTGCATAATTATAAAAATGCTTACCAACTGTTTACAATTATTATTAATAAAGAGCTGTCAGACAATTACTCAAAAACTCAGCGCGAGCAAACCTTCACATTCAATAAAGGGAGGGGCAGCGCCATCCCCTCTCGCTTACATGTACGATTAGTCCACATTAGATATCATGATACATGGCAGTTTTTATTCTTTCCGTTAGTCGAACGTGATCCGTTATACTGTATAATCTTCTGTATTGGCCCCGTAGTTGCAACCCACGATCAGTCATGGCTCTTAGACGTCTCTGCCAACCTCTGTACTAGCTGAGTGAACCGTAAACTGTCCCAGGTACAAACAAGATAAAGCCATAAGGTTTACCATGCATAACCTCATTAGACGGTTTCCCAATTAATCAAGTTTCATGTTATTGTTGTTAAGAAAAAAAATAAAGAAAAAGATGCAGAAAGAGAACAAAAAATCTTAAACAAACACTTTACCCGACCAATCAGGGTTTTGAAAATATGAACTTCCCTAATTGTGGAAACAGCCCGCAATTTTGTCCCAGAAAGGTGAAATATATATCGCACTACGTATCGCGATGTTTGTCGCGTTCAACGTTTCATTAAAGACGCGTAATCTTTTTTTCCAGTCGTTCGGTTCAGTTTCAACCAAGTTAACCAGTTATTGTAACTACTAATCAGGTATGTGCCACAATGTACGACAATTACGGAGGCATTCAAGAGGTAACTTCTAAGTTCAATTCCCGAGTTTAATTTTTTAGCTTCTTTAGAAAACTTTTAGGGCCGAAGGCAGACATACTCTCTTCGTATTTTAGATCAAATTGTGTTATTTCACAGAAAAACAAATTAAAAATAAAAACAAAAACAAAACAAAAAACTGTTAAAAAAGCACTATGCAAAAATACATTAGAAATAAATAAATTATGCCAAAAGTCTCTTACACCACTTAGTTGTCCAATCACTGTGGTTCATTTGTATCCCATGCTGCTTGGATTACAATGGTAACTTCTAAAACTGTACTTAATGAAGGGTGATTATTTTCCCAGCTGTAGGTACGAGTTAAATGTGCGTAACATTTGGTTCTCAACAAGATAGATATATTTAGCGAAGCAGGAAATAAATTTCTATAGAAAATGAATGGGATCTCGCGCCTTCATTGTGCCTTCACGTTTTCCAGGTCCATGGTTGAAGGAGTCAGATTTGAAAATTTAGTTATTAGCCTTTACAAGGTACGAAACGTGCTAGATAAGAGGGCAACCCAAAAAGCTTCCATTGCAAGTTATTTCTAAACCAGACCCCGTAATCTTTACATTACTAACGGCATAGGAGCACGAGGAATGATAGATAGATAACATGCTCAACGACTGTTTACGAATAAAACTGAAAGAAAAGGAAGCAAAGCCGCATGTATTGAAGGGACAGCAGCGACTTTTAATTGCACATGTAAAACAGTCACTTATTACATTCTAGCGGATGAAAGAAGGTCTCAGTGTGTTAGCCATCCTATAATTCTACAATTGTAATTTACAATTGTGCGCTGACTCGAGATACACGTGTAAATTCCTGTGTGGAATGTATGTAGGGCTCTTTTCGTCTATGCAGATGGTCTGTTAAGCTTAAAAGGGTCATTTCATGATAAGCTCTAGAAAGTCCTTTACTTGCAGCTTCTTTCATGGCTGACTCTTCTGATGTTAGAACCACAGCTTCTGCTACAGTATTTGAATACCAGGGAGATGCCACCGTGTTATGCATTGCTGTTGCTTTCCTTTCGCTGACGTTTCTCAATCTGGCTGTTCCTGAGGTTATTTTCGAGCATAATAGTTCCTTCCTTCACTGTAGTCCTCCACTTCGTTCTGCCGACTGCAATTTCATCCCAGGTTTTGACATCGATCTCACATTTGGACAAAATGGTCTTGCATGCGTCCTTGTATCTCAGTTTTGGTCTTCCTCTCTGTCTTTTTCCTTGTGACAGCTCACCATAGAGCAGTTGCTTTGGAATCCGGCTGTCATCCATTCTCTTTACATGTCCCAACCATCTTAGCCTTCTCATGCACAGGATCGATGTCATGCTTTGGAGTTTTGTCTGGTCCAGCACCTCAACATTTCTAATTTTGTCACTCCAAGTAATTCCTAAGATCTTACGAAGGCATCTGAGATGGAAAGTGTTGAGTCGCTTTTCTTGTCTGCTCTACAAGGTCCATGTTTCAAATTCGTAGAGGAGTAAGCTAAGAACACATGCTTCGTAGAATTTGATCTTTTTCTTAATCTTTAATCTTTTGTTCTCCCAAGCTCGTTTTGTTTTATTAAAACCGGCTCCCGGTTAGCTCAATGGATAAAGCGCTGGACTGTTGTGCGGGAGGTCGAGGGTTCTAGCCCCGGCCGGACCAACACTCAGGGTCTTAAAATAATTGAGAAGAATTTGCTGCCTTTCTATAACATCAAGAAATGGTTAGATATTCTAGTCTTCTCGGATAGGGACGAATAAATGGAGGTCCCGTCTCCTGCAGGGTTGGGGAAGGAGACGTTAATTTTCCACACACGAGATTACTGTGTGATGGATGTCCTCCCCTGGGGTGGGATGGGTGGGAGGGTGGACTAGCACGAATGGTTCCTATGTTCCTTTCTAGTCCTTCCCCACTGCAAAACTTAATGCAGTGAAAATGGACTAAATTAAA